CCACCTGCACATATCCAGTGCTAAAAGTCCCAGAGGTCCCCTGCACTATTTCAGCACATCAGGGGAAACCCACAGGAGCTAAGAACTGCAGAACCCCTCACAGGAGAGGCTCTGTTTGACCGAAAGGCAAATTTCTTCTTTCCTACCAGAAAAGTGGTAACTGCTGCCAGGGGCTAACAGCAATCACTGAAGGCAACACAGCCACGCTAAGGGCATCCGCTTCATCAGCCAACATAGAAAACAAATGCAGATGAAATCCAAGGGCACAAAAGACTCAGGTGCCCCTGAACTGGGAGGATAACCAGCAAGACAGAGTGCTTGCAGAACTCCCACTGCATGGAAGGAACAGCTGGCTGCTGCATTCTTTGTGCTGCTCTCATTTCACAGGGTTAGTGAATGAGTTGCTCTGTGAGTGTGCTGTAGATAGAAGCAGATTTTCCAGTCATCTAAAGGAATGGTAAAAGAAAATAAAACAATAAAAATAATAATAAAGACTTTTATGCACCTAAATTCTTAAAAATTTCAGTGGGGGCAAATAAAATCAATTGCTTGATTAAAGCAATGCTTCTCATATCACTTCATCCAGCAAGTTAAAAACAAACACCTCAAAAAACAAAGAGGAGCACAGCAAGAACCCGGAGTGCCCAGCAGAGAAATGGGGCCATTCCCTGAGAAAGGGAAGGCACTGCTCACTTATATTGAACACCTCTGACACTCCAGGCACACAGCTGCTTCTGCTGGGATTGAGCTTCTGTTGCTGGGATTTACTGGCATATTTGCTTATGGTTTTTTATTTTTAAAATCACGTTTTCCTTAAAGTTTCAGTCTACTGCTGATCTGCTAGCAGTTACAGTGACTGGGAGTAACTAGTTTCACTACTGCTCAAGTACAGATTTGCCCACACCTGTCTCAGCACAAGCAGTGTGTTTCTGCAGGTAGGAAACCACAAATGCCCTATGAACAAGATCTTGATGATCATTAGGGTCTTTTCCATCCTGAGTGATTCTACAATTTCAGGAAATCTTCACTTTTGCATACAGCTGGCAGGAGCAGAAAGGCTTCTTAAATGCCATCTATGCCTTCAGCTCAATAAGGATTCACTGCAACTTCTGTGGACACTGAGCACACCTTTCAGGCTGACCAAAAGCGAGAAGCTGGACATGAGGCAGCAGTGTGCGCTCACAGTCCGCAAGGCCAGCTGTGTTCTGGGCTGCATGAAAAAGGGGCAGCCAGCAGGAGAGGGAGATGATCGTCCCCCTCTGCTCGGCTCTTGTGAGCCCCATCTGCAGCGCTGCGTCCAGGCCTGGGGCCCCCAGCACAGGAAGGACGTGGAGCTCTGGGAGCGGGTCCAGAGGAGGCACTGAGATGAGCAGAGGGCTGGAGCAGCTCTGCTGTGAGGAAAGGTTGAGGGAACTGGGCTTGTTGAGCTCGGAGAAGAGAAGGCTGCGGGGGGACCTCATGGTGGCCTTCCAGTGCTTGAAGGGAGCAGATAAACAGGAGGGGGACCGGCTGTTTACGAGGGTGGATGGTGACAGGACAAGGGGAAATGGATTTAAAGCGAGACAAGGGAGTTTAGATTGGATATTAGGAAGAAGTCTCTCACTCTGATGGTGGCGAGGCACTGGAACAGGTTGCCCAAGGAGGCTGTGGATGCCCCATCCCTGCAGGCATTCAAGGCCAGGCTGGATGTGGCTCTGGGCAGCCTGGTCTGCTGGTTGGCAACCTGCACACAGCAGGGGGCTGGAACTGGATGAGTGTTGTGGTCCTTTGCAACCCAGGCCATTCTATGATTCTATGATTCTACGAAAACCATCAGCACTCTTTTACGCCAAGCTACATATTTTTAAATGAATGGTATTTGGAAGGGAAAAAAATGATCAACAGACATCATTTTGCACATGCTCAGCCCCTCTCAGAGATGTTCAGCTTCACTGCTGAAAGCCCAAATCACTTTTAGGATTCATGCTGGTTCCACACAGTCACGTCAGTTGTGCCACTCCAAAACTCCAAACCCGTGCAAATGTACCAGATCACTTTCAGTACTATTTTCAAGGAAAACATAATAAGGAAGACACAGTCCTCGTTCTGTGCTGCAGAATAGCCTTTGATAGTCTCATCTCTCATTGCCTCACTTCACTGGTACGTGCATGTGGACTAACTCCAGTCCACAGTGCTTCAAATGCTTGATCTGCTAAAGGCAAAGCATTATAGCAGATCAAGCTCATAGATGACGAGCGAGGGCATTTCTGTGTGCGCAACATCAGGAAAAAGTAAAAGGAAACGTATGTGTCCTCAGAGGACACAGGCTTCCCTATCTCTGGCAGACTCAACAGCAGCTTACTTCCTCCTGCAGCTTCTCTTTGAATTTGTTTCAATGCCTTGCACGCCCTCTGCTCTGTTCAAGAGATAGCACAGCCGTACCTGCAAGGTGCTGGTCAGAAAGTTGTCCTGGGAGACGATGTCCACAAAGAAATCAGACGGGATTTCATTCAGCTGGTGATACAGGACGAAGATGAGATTGGCATAAAGCTCTTGATACTTTGCAATGGCCTCTTCAGAACGGCATAGGATGTTTAACAGCCTTTTCCAGTGCTCAAATGCATCATATACATTCCCAATCAGGAAGCAGATAAAAGCAAACTGCAACTCAGCTGCACGTATTAAAAAAAATAAAACAAAACACATAAACTGAAGTACAACCAAAGCACACATCCTCTAAAAAGCTCTGTAGATGACTGCACAAACTGTAGGTTTAGCTCAGGCATACAAACAACATTCTGTCCTCTGAGCTATTCTGCAAACGGCAATCGATGCTGCCAACACTGATTATTCCCTAATGCTCTGCTCTTCTCCCATCTGGAGAGAAAGCACAACATAACCGGGCAGGGCTTTTAATTGTGACTACCAGCTCTGCAGAGCGGCGCTGCCGGCACTCAGCGTGCGGAGCTACCGGAGCGCTTCTGCAGCCCTCAACGGTGCGCAGATCCCACAGACACTGCCGGCGCTCTGCAAGCGTGCATCCTCCGTGCCGGGCCGTGCAGACACCGGCCCCGAGCCGCAGGGATGGGAACACAGGAGGGAGTGAGCGCTGCACTCGTGTGCGCAGTAATTCCGACAAAGAATGAATCGTATAACACGACGGACGACGCGAAAAACAAAAGCTCGCTCTGCAGCCCAGCCGTGCTCCCGGCCCCTCCGCGCCGCAACACGGCGCCCTGTCCCGTAGAGCCGACCGGCGCCCCGGGCAGCACCCTCCCGCCCGCCCCCGGCACGGCACGGCACGGCCGGAGCTCCGCGCGGGGCTCTCCTGCCGCGCACTCACCCAGCAGCTCCTGCGGCCGGCCAGCGTAGCTCCGCGCGATCACCTTCTCCAGCGCGTAGCTGAGGTCCATGCTGTGCCTGGTGATCTCCTCCGGGCTGGCGCCGTCGGGGTACGTCTGCCGCGGCAGCTCGGTGAAGCGGATCTCGGTGCCCGCTCTCGGCCGCATCTCGGGCAGCCGCGCCATGCCCTCGGCGTAACTCCCGCAGCCCGCGTCGTACGGGGGCAGCTTCTGCCCCGCGCGGTCCCGGCCGTGCCGCCCCGCCCGCACCGGCAGCACCTCCGAGAAGGCGGAGATCTGCCCGCTCTCCGGCCGCAGCCGCTCCACCGCCGCTTCGCCGACGAAGCCGCTGAGGGAGATCCACTTCTTCAGGGTCTCGTAGGGGTACGGCCCGAGGAACGCGTCCATCTCCCGCAGGTCCCGCCCGAGCGCTTCCTCCTCTTCCAGCGCGGCCTCCCGCAGCTCCTCGCTGCCCGGCTCCCAGCGCAGCGCGCGCACCTGGCGCGGCCGCAGGCAGAGGAAGCGCCCCGCGCGCGGCCCCGTCTCAGCGCCGCCGCCGCTCCGGGCCGCGCTGCAGTGCACGAAGTGAACGCCCGGCGGGACCATCTTGACGCCGCGGAAGCGGGGGCCCGCGGTCCAGCTGTTGCAGTCGATGCCGAACTCGGTGCCTTCGGGCACGCCCAGGACGACGACGGCGGCGCCCTCGAAGAAGAGGCGCTTGGCCAGCTCGGGGTCGGCCCGCGGCCCCGCCATGACCAGCGGGAGCGGCGGCGCGCGGCCGCGGACGGAGAGGGCCGGAAACGCGCCGCCCGTGCTCCGCACTGCGCCGGGCCACCCCCTGCGCCGCGCACGGCCGTTCCGGGCCGCTTCTCGCTCCGCCTCCGCGTCGTCCCCGAGCTGCGCTGCTCCCCCGGCCCGAGGAGCCCCGCTGCTCGCCGCGCCGCCCTGACGGTCGTGCCTCTGCTCCCATCCGGTCTCCCCAGAGGCGTCGCCCCCCGCGGCAGTAATCCTTAACGACGGGTAACCCTTAACGATTAAACACCGACGCGAAAGAGTGACCCTTAACCGGAACCCGAAAGGGTGCTCCGTAACTCCTAGCCGTGAACCAAAAGTGTAACCTTTAACAATAACTCAAATACTTAACCCTAACATAAGGGGTAACTGTTAATCAAAACTGGTAACCCCCAAACCGCTAGCCCTAACCCCGAATGGGTGAGCCTTCATCCTAACACGAGAGGAGAAACCTTAACGCGTAACCCTAACGCAAAAGGGTAACTGTATCCACAACCCAAAATATTAACCCATGCTCCTTAATTCTAACCAAAAAGGGTAATCTTCAACCATCTCCCAAAAGGGTAACCCCTAGCCCTTAATACTAACCCAAAGCTGTAGCCCTTAAACATATCCCAAAAGGTAACCCTTAACACCCAACCGTAACCTAAAAGGGTAACTTGGAAACAGAATGCAAAAATGGAGACCCACTTAACGCTGACACTGAATGGCAACCTCCAACCCCAAAGGATAACCCTACACCCCATGGCAGGCAGCCATGCAGCATCACCAACCAACAGCTACATACAGCACCTACAGGGGACAGCCTGCTATGCAGCCCCGGGCTGGAGCCCCCGCCCCGTCTGCCCGTTCTCTTTGGCGGGAAAGAGTCTGAAAAGGCCGCAGAGCTAGTTTAGCCTCAAACACATTTATTTCACTTTTATTGAATACAAGAACAGTGAGCACACACGCATACACCACCGAGCACTGAAAAGGAGCATGACTGGAGGGGGGAGAAGAAGAAAAAGGGAAAAGGGGAATTAGTGAAGGAACAACAGAGCACTGCAGTTGGCTGGTAAGGTGCTTTTCAAATATAAACATTGCTGTTATTGTTACTGTTATTATTACTCATGCAATTGCAGGCCAGGTTTGGAATAAATTTGTGGGATTGGGTAAAAACAGGCACTCATGTCTCCCGCCGCTTTCAGCAGAAAGGCCTCTGGAAGAAAACATGCGGTGCTGAGCTGCCCCAGCTCAGCAGTTTGGTTTCATCCTATTTGTTTGTTGGTGCTTTTTTCTAATTTAGTTTTTAAACATCGTCACCCTTAAAGAAGCTGCAGAAACCACAGAATGGGATCCACTCACTCCAAACATAACTCATCTGAGTCCACTCTAGAGTAGTCAAGTCAGCTCTAACTGTATAAGGCCACTAGTTTGAGCAGTAACCTTTGATAACTGTGCCAAAAAGGTGATGCCAAAAGCAGGTATCTTAGCTTCAGAGTAGCAGCGGGTGGCTGTAAGGGGTATGAAGGCCATGTGAGCTCCTCTGAGTATGAGCCATGGTATGCCAAAGAACAACAAGCGCAGTGTGCGGGCCATTGCTAATAGGCGAGAAGGGCTGGATGCCCTGTACAGACACTGAGAGCAGGTCCTCTGCCACCCGGTGTCTCTGAAAGTGCAGCTGCTACTGACAGCTGGCTTGGGTGCATTTAAAAAGCAAAGAGAAAAGCAGCCTCTTTGCAACTGCCTTCACTCTTTCTGGCTTGGGGGTCTCATCTCTAAAAGCAGCAGGTCACAAGCAGGTGACCACACTCGAACAGAAGCTGAGGGAGAGCTGCCACCACCACCGACCTCTTCAGGAAAGTGACAGTACTGGCATCAGCCAGCAGTTGTCCCCTGCGCAAGCAGCTTGTGCTCAGGTCTTCCATGCTTGCAGGGGAAACTGATAAACCTGAAGGAGAACAGATTTCGTGGGGACATCATGACAAGCAGCTGGTAAACCAAGGCTGCCAGAGACCAGAAGACCTGAGTGTGGTCTGCCCACAGCACCCTAATGGCTCAGGCTCTTCCTTTTCACTGTCATCCTCAAATCCATGGCAGGACTTGTTAACCACACCTGTCTCTGGGCACAGTCTGTGTGAAGGGTGGGAGACTAAAGGCAGAATGGTGCAGAATTGCGGCCCCTTTTGTTTCTTCAGGAGATAGAAATTAAAATAAAAAAAAAAAAAAAAGAAACCTGTTTATTTCCTTTCCTTTCTGGTTTTGGTTCCAAGTCTACCCTAACCACCTGGTTCACAGTGTGCAAGGCCCTGGGCTTAGCCTTGCTATCCCCTTCCAAAGGCAGCCACTGAGGAGGCCTGTCTCCAAAGGCCAAGCTGTCAGGCTGTGGGGCAGGCAGCATCACTGACACCACCTTGACAAGTGCCTCCTTACGTGCAGGGCCTGGGCTCTGCCGCCCAGCCTTGTACACTTGGGATGCTCTTCATTGATGCGACCTCCTCACTCTATGCCTTTGGGCAGCACCTGGAGGCAAGGCTGGGGAAGAGCTGCCATCGTCCTCCAGCACCATCACCAACCCGCCGTGCCTCAGGCAGCCCTTCCATCACACCCAGGGCAGCAGGAATGGGGTCAAACAACTGCTCTGCCTTCAACCCTTCAAAAAACTCGAGTAACTCCATTACTGGAAACAATCCAAAACAACCCAACTATCATCACAGCTCAGTGAGCCGGACAGGAGCAATGAACCCTGCAGCTGTCACCTTGTTTCCAGCTGATTCTGATGCTTTTGGTTGGTGGCCAGGGAGATGACCCTACCCAGGGCTGCAGGAGCAGCATGAGCCTCTTTCTGCGCCCTTCCAACTCACCACTTCCAAACAACCCATACCAAACAGCAAACCCAGAGCTCTTGCTGCCACGTGGATCAGTCAACAGGATGGCTCCCACCTCTCCCCCTCCCCTTCTCCCTCCAAACAGCAGTGGCTGATACCTTCCCCGTTCTCTTCTTGCAGGACAAGGAGTCCCACTGTGATCTAAGAGCCTCGAAGTACAACAACCACAGTCAAATAGTTAATAATTTAAAAATGTCATCATATTTACCAGCACTGTTGATTATTTCAGTATTCTTCCCCTCCCCCCTCCCCCTTGTTATATATAATAATATACATAACTTAAATGCACATCCATATGAAACCCCTACAGGCTGCATTTTTATAAATGAAAAACCATATACATGTCATTTGCTCTGTTTGAATTGAACTCCATCCTTAAATACCTTCAGAGAACAAGAGGTTAGACAAGTGCACAGAGAAGAAGATAAGGAACAGACGGGGAAGAGTTAACAGAACCACAAAAGATGCAAAAGAACCAGCATGGAACGAGGAGAAGGGTGAAACCACACTTCCAAATTGGAAAATAACTCTAAAGTAATAAACTCAATGTTTTTCTCTCTTCTTTCCAGAGTGGGGAATGGTTTTGCTTCTGCTTGTGTTTGTCTGATTTCAGTTTGCTTATTTCTTGCTTTGTTGCAAAGCAGTTTTTGTTTCATTCAATGTGCAACAAATGAACTCATGATTGTGTATCCTTTAATGTAACATGCAAGATGGTGGCTTATTGTATTATTGTTGTTATTATGATTTTTAAATCTTATTTTATCACCAATCCAGTAAATTCTTCAATTTTTTTTCTGCAAAGAGGGTTGTTTTTTTTGTTGGTGTGTTGCTTGCTATTCATTTCCAGCATATAGCAGCAGTGCAAGGATGCGTTTTGTTTCCTGTTTTTATATATATATATATATGTACGTATGTATATATATATATATTTGCTATTCCTTTTTTAAAAACTTTTTGTCTCTAGCCATGAACATTACAGCCAGGATGTCTATGTTTTGCTGACAAATCCAGCATGAAGGCTCCTTCTTCACTGTCCTCCGGGTCCAAATACTGATGCTGACTTCATGAACATGTTGGTCAGGATTCCTGTACAAGGCAAATGGAAATGACTGGTCACGGGGTGCAGTAACCTTCTGACTATAACAGGGTTCCTGTTTGTTGAGAGCAGTGGACAGTAAACTTGCAAACTCTCCAGGCCACAGTTTGTATTTCTTTACCAGAACCTCTGGCCATTAGCTGGACCTCTCAGTCCACTGAGCTGATGTTGGTGTTTGAGGAGATACCAGCGGATCACTGCTAAAGGCTTCTTTTATTTAAGCCATCACTTAAAATCAGGTGGCTCCCTAAGAAATACAGAAACATCTGGGCTCTTCATATTGTGCTAAAGGAGGTGAGAGTAGACAGATGCAGCAGCCTCTCTGACCTTCCATTGTACAACAGAGCCAGTTACTTATCCAAGCTTAGAAGTTGCCTTTCAAAATCTTCATAGAGAGAGACAGACCTCTCTTCAGGGAGATAAACACCAAATCCATTTCCAAGATGCCTCTCAAAATGCACCTACGGTCTGGCAGGCTAAGGAGCTTCTCATACACGCAGTGCAGCTGCCTTTCAAACCTCCTTTCCCTTTTTCAGCATGCTCCTCTGCCTCTTAGCTGCTCTGATACAAAAGTGTTTTGGGCTGTGCCACAGCTCCGCTGCAGAAGAGCTGAGGCAATCTCTTATGGGGGAGCAAAGGGGTCAGAGTAAGGGGGTAAGAGTGGGGCAGGACTCCTCCAGCCAGCTTTGCTCTGGAAAAGAGGACGTGTAGAGCTGTGTCTGCTTTGAGGCCTGTGTGGGAAGGTGCAAATCCTGGGAATGCGTTTGCAGAACCTGCAGCCAGGCTTCTCATTATGGGTATCACTTTTCTCACTCCCTGCACAGGGGGACAAGCAAGTCCTTCCTCTTCACATGCAAATGATTCTGACTGCTTTGCCAAGCAGGACATCTGCAGCACTGCTTTTGGTGACTGTGGTGCTGGCTTTCTAACAACCACATGGCCGTGCCTGCAGTCAGTCACACTGGAAGCACTGGCCAAGAGCTGCCACTCCTATGCAGTTGGTGGAGTCACTCCCAAACATCAGTCATGGCCAGCTGTGGAAATGTGCCCCGGCCGTTTTGAGTAGGAACGTGAGCAAAGCCCGTGCAGTGTGGAAATGCATGCTCTGCCTATGCAGTCATATGGGGGACTGGGCCAGTGAAGAACCTTTGCAAGGGACTCCGCTGTGTTATTCCACACCATATGGAGAAAGGGACATGCTGTGGCACTTGTACAGTTACATACATCTTGTACACAGCAAATATAAATTGCACCTGATAACTTCTCCACCTACCTGAGGTTTCTTGTCCCTTTCCTCTGGAAAAGGTTCTGTTTCTCTGTATACCACAGCTTTGGTTACCAGCATGTCAGGATGCTGTAGTTTTGCCTCTTTGATTGCTAAAGCCAGTGCCTAGAAACCAGAATGATGAAAGCATTCATTGCCACTTTCCTGAAGTCTGGTATGAATACTGCTCTCAGCCAGTGGATCTCAGCCAGCTGGAGTCGAATGGGATTCTAGCAGACACAGATGCAGAGATTCAAAATGCAACCTACATGTAATGGCCTGGCAGAAAAGACTGGAGCTCACTACTGACCACAAGTTCATACAGCAGTGGGAGGCCATGTGCTCCCCCTTTTACTTGCTGTCTTTCTGTAGAGATGTGCAATGTCCCAAGCTCCCTACTGAAACCCAAGCAAAGGAACAGCAGATATTCTCTGCAGAAAAACTATACTAAAAAAAACAAAAACAAACAAACAAACAAACAAACAAAAACCCTAAGATAGTTTTCTTATATTTATTACTATAGTTCTAAAAAATTTAAGAATTACTTTAGAGCTTGCTCAAGATCATTTTGAAATACTTTAGAGCTTCAATTTTGTTTTCAAGCAACAAATTCTAAAGGATTAGGTCCCAGGAAAATGACCCTGCAACCTGAGAGATCTGTACCAATATCTGATATTTCATTACAGAAGTTTGTCGCTTTTTGTTCCTCTGTCAAGGAGGTAAGATGCAAAAGAAGGTTTCCTGGAGTGCATCAACCCTGAGTGAGACTGTGCAGGAAAGAAAGGGAGAACCTGGGTCACTTCACAAAATTTCAATGGGGAAAAGGCAACTGGAAATGTATTTTAAGGAAATTAAAAGGTGAGCTCATAGCTGGGTTCTGTGCTGAAATGCAATCTTTACTGCTGCTTCATTTCTGCAGCAGGTACTGATGGGGGCTGGGCTGGGAGCTCTTGGTTGATAAAAGCCAAACATTCCTGCTATTTGACAGGCCAAGTGCATGCTGACTGACATCCCTCATTCTGAGATGGAACTGGGGTTTTCTGTGAGCACCACCGCATGGTCCTGGGGACACAGACAACTGCTCCTACCTGGTCCTGGTCCACATCTTCGTCTCCCGTGATAATTATGCGCTTCTCTATCCTGGTCTCTGAAAATCCTCCTTTCACAGTCTGTGCAACAAGAAGAAACAGCACTCATTTGCACCCCCCAGGACCTGCCTCATCCCCACACCTTGCAGGCTACAGGTTTCTGGGGCAAAAAGCCTAATTCAAGGCCTTGCCTGCAGCACGTGGTCACAGGACAGATAATAAAACTCATAAGCCATGAGTGCTGCCTATGCCTGCATGTGAGGGAGAGGAGACAAATGGCACCCAGCAAGTTGTTTCTGGAAGACATAGCTGCCCACCAGAGAAGAGACAATGCCAACATAATCTTAGGATCTCCTTGCATTATTTCCTGTATGTCCCACTAAGCCTGATGTAGTGCATGGTTAGAGCTAGCATGACACAGGTAGGGCAGAAGTGGGCAGGAGCACGAATGTGAGATGCGTAAGGAAAAGGGCCAGCAGCAGGTACTGAGCACCTCTCTTGCTTACTCAAATCTCTTGCTGGATTATTTCATTGATGTGTACTTTATTTGGGAATGAAGTGGCCATAGGTGAGATCCACTGATGCAACTACCCCTCCTTAATTTTCTGTCATCTATCCCCCCCTACTTAAGCTGCTCCAGCTGTAATAAATCAGACATAATTGAGATAAGGTGAGGTGCTCCGGCACTGATGTGAATTACCTGGCAGCTGTGCTGTGGGATTTCTGGGCAGGGGGCATCTGGGCCCTGGCTCTAGGTATGTCTGGATTCACACACACCAGTTACGTGGACAAGGGAGTGGCGCACATACTGGTGGCAGTCTACTACAGTCACTTCCATCCCTGCTGATGCCTTCAGGGCAGAGCTTCAGAAACACTGAGTTCCTTCTCTACCTAATGACTCCCTTCCTTCCCAATATACCAAGGCACACAGGTGGGCATGGCACTCGGGCACGGTCCATGTGGATGGTATGCAGGTGATGAGCACCTGATGCCTGTCAAACACAGGCCATCCTTGTCTGAAGTCCCCTGCAGTTGCATCTGGCTGAATGGGATGGGTAGCACAGCTAGGCTGAGCAGGGCCAGGGCACTGTGCCAGCTGATGACCTCCAACAGGTCAGCACACACTTTTTCAGCTTGTAAGGAGGAGAAAGGCATCTTGCTCTGTACTAGGCACAGCATGAATCCACCTTCCTCAAATTCCAGTGGCTTTCATCAGACCCTCCCCAGCTGCTCTGTTTGAAGATGCTCTTACCTTGGTAACATGGGTAGTGGTAGAAGTGGAGAGGGTTTCTGCAGTGGCACTGAATATGCTGGTGAGCACTTCCTTCCCAGCAGAGCTGCTGCTGATCTGCACAACAGAGAGAAGCAGCTAGTCCCCAGGCCCTAAACTTCCAGTACCTCTCCACTGGCACAGAGCTACAAAGGTGAGCATGTTAGCATGTTTCTGCCTTGCACAATAGAGAGCACAGCAAGGAAGAAGGTGCTGCAGCTTCCAACTGGGTACCTGCTATTCCAGGTCTGGTGATAACTATCCCAAGCCCAGACATACAGAAAAGCTCTCTCTGCAGTGGGGAGATGATCTGACCACCTTGCCCAGCCCTGACTGCCAGCCCCAGCCCAGGGTTGACTCCCTCCAGTGCTCACTCACCGGTGACACGGAGCAAAGCTCTGACGTAGGACCAGCCCCTTTCCCAGGCTTGGTGGCATTATCCTGAAAGCAGACCACACAGGCATGTGAGCTTGAACACAACACACAGGTGAGCAGAGCAGGTCACCCTGGAGCCTTCACGTCCCCTCCCCACCCCAGCAACAGATCTACTCTGGTTTCCCTCCGCACAGTAGGAGGCCCCTGTGGGATGGTGGCAGCTGTGGGACCCCGAGGGGCCAGTCCCACTTACTGAGGTTGTTGGTGTGGTCTCTGTGGTGACAGCACGAACAGAGGCTGATACATCTCCGCTGCCAGGCATGCCTCCTTCCACCTGCCAGAGGCAAAGGAAGGCCAATGAGTTTGGAAGTGCCTGTGAAGGGGTGACATCTGCAGGCACGGTGCTTTACATCCTTGCTGCCAGACAAGCGACACACATGGGCCCATCGCCCTCTGGAGACAATCCCCACGTGCTGTCACATGGCAGATGGGGTAAGGGAATTGGGTGCAGAGGCTGGGTTCAATGGTGCCTGCATGAAAAAGTAAACTCAGGATATGTTTGGACAAGATTTGATGTTTTGGGGACTCTGGCAAGACAAGTGCAAGAATAGAACCCCAGTGGCCTCTCTCAGCCACTGGCCCTCACAGCAATGCTGCGTGCAGACAGGTTTTGCTAAACCGAGGCTCTGCAGAACCATTGGGAGAAGGGGCCGTGAGAGGATGGACGCAGCTGCATCACCTGGGCTGCTTCTGGGGTGCTGATCTGGTGGGCAGCGGAGGCATCTTCGGTCTTCTTTGTGTCTGGCCCCAGGCTGACTGTTAAAGCATCTGTTTTTGGGGCTGGTGACTGCAGAAAAAGCACAGCAAGTCAGTCACTGCTCCAAACCACCCTGCTTCCCAGGGTGCAATGAGATACAGCTCTGCATGGGGGACACTTCAGTGCTCCTCCTGAACCAGCCTGCATGAGCAGTTCCCCTGGAATCTTCTGCAAGTGACACCTGCATGTGATATCCTGCAAGTGTCATGCTGAGCCTCACCTGAACAATGAGCAGAGCCCAGGCCACTATCCTAGGCTAATGGCTACCACACAAAGCACCCTGTATGACTGACATATTCTAAATTAGACCCAGTACTCCATCTCCAGGCTTTTATGGAATCTTTTTTTGATAGGTTCACAGATACCACTGATAAACTGGTTTTCAGAGCATGTGAGACCCAACAGACCTCTCTCTCTTATGACCTAAGGTATTTCTGTGTACTGCATCAGTCCCTGACATCTGTGGTGACAACTGCCTGTCAAATGGAGGCTAACTTGGAGAATGGAGACAAATTTCCAGCAAGTTCACAGCATTTCTGAGTCAGCTGTGCTCCCTGCCCAGCACTGGTCACACAGCACCATGGAGGCTATAAGCCAAGCCTGTGGCCCAGCAGCCTGCTGCACAGTGCCCCACAAAAGGCCTGGCTCAGAGAAAACTCACTTTCTTCTGCAGCTTTCTCCTGGATCCAGGGCAGGACTCATGCTGCAGGGGGCTCCAGGAGCACCCACCTGGCCGGGGCTGGGAGCTGCAGCCAGCGCTGACTGAGCCGAGCACACAGGAAACCCTGTGCCTGCACAGAGGCCATGATAATTTTGTTTGTGGTGGGGTTGGCCCTACTGTCCTCTCTCAGAGGCACATGTTCCACTTCTGCTTGCAGTTTTCTTCTGTGCCACATGCAGTTTCCTCAGCCCTGCTGATAAACACTCCACGACATTTGGGGCTGCTCCAGCAGGCTACTTTGTCAATCTCTCCCAACCAGGCACTACCAAACAGGTTAGTTAGCAGCACATTTCTCTTCACGCTCAAATTTCATGCAAAACACAGGGACAGGGCCAGTGGTTATAACACAGAACACACCCTTCCAGCTTCTGATGTGCCGCAGTGATGCAAGGGGCAGGGCAGGCAGCCAGACACAGCACATGAAGAGGTGAAGATGACTTTCCTGGTTATCAGAGTCACAAAACACAAGACAGTGCCATGCACCTGTCCAAACTGAGTGAACCATGCAAGACAGACAACAGCATGCATGACAGTAGAACAGTTACATTGGACAGAAACCCAGGGCTGTATGAAAGCTAGCATGCTCTTCCAAACTGACGTGGGACTGCACACCAATGAGGCAATGCCAGGCACCAGTACAGAGAACATGGAGAGACGGTAGCACCAAGACAACGTTGGAGGAACGGCTTCCCTGTGTACCTCTAGCTGGGAGATGGCTGGGCTGGGCTGGGCAACCTTCTCCCTGGCTTTGCCATCCTCTTCCAATCCAGGAACTACTTTGTCAGTGTGCTGGAAGGAAACCAGGCCTTCATCTTCCATCTCACTCTTGTCTTTATCTAGCTCAGGCAGGCTCCGGGAGATGTCCTCAAAGGCAGTCCCATGGAAGTCACCGATCACTGTGAAGTCCACCTCTGCTTCCAAGCTGGAGGTTGAACTGACCGTGATGCTGGAGCACTTGCGCTCGATGGCCAGGTGGTTGTCCTTCAGAAACACTGAGTCCTTCTCCTGGTCCTGTTCCTCATCGCCAGTGTCGCTCTCGGGAGCCCTGTGCCGAGGTGGCTTAGCTTTCTCCTCAGTGCCCTCCCTTAAGCCTGCTCTCTGAATGAGACACAACGGAGGAGAGAGACGGAGACTGAGCGCTGCATGGCACGGCAGCACTGGCTGTGCCGATGGAGGAGAGGGGAGGAAGAAGAGAAAAGGCAGCAGCAAACGTCACAGAGTAGAGTCAAACACAACTCAAGCACGGAAACCGAAACCTTTCTGACAGCAGCAACTTTGCAGGGGTTTGGGGAGAAGGATTATTCAATCCAGTTTTGCCAAAAGCCTACTGGTAATTAATCACTGAAAAAAAGGGTCAGTCACAAAGAAAAGCTTGGCCAGCTTAGAGGCACATCACTGCACCTGGTGAAAGCAGGTGTATGCAAAATAACAGTTCTGTTAATAGACATTCAGAAACAGCTCAGACGCCGATGCTATCGTATGTCAGAAAAACTGAGCATGAGAAAAGTGTCCCATCAGCCAGGTAGGTTGGCGGAGAAGTGAAGGAGTGTGCCAATTGCACTGAGCTCAGCCCAAGTGGAGCATCACGTGTGGCTGGCGGGGCAGTACCCCGAGGAGAGCCAGGCACATCACACCCCCCCACACCTCCCAGTGCCCTCCAAAGGACTCGTGCAACCAGGGCTGGCTCCTAGGGATGCAAACTGTGTGTTCAGTCAGTGTAATTGACAGCACGATCAGAGCCAAGGGAAGACATCTCTCCACTAGCTCCTCCCCAAACATGGACATATCTCTCAACTCTGCCATCAGAGGGTGCATTCCCTTCGCCATTTTGCTATGAAGTGATAGGAAATCGAGACCCATGCATTTACTTGCTTTTGATTCTCTTTAGGAGATCAGCTCCTTGTTAGCTTTAGAATTAGCTCTAAGCTGGCTGATGCAACAGAGGAAGCCCATCTCCCAGGCTACAGTCCAAGCATTTGCAGCTAGAGCCATCCCCTGACTCTGACAGCACAGGCACCTTTTGTTTGCGGTGCTGGGTGGTTGAGAGGTATGAGAAACAGGGTGACAAACAAACTCAAGAGGAACACGCCTGCGTACACTTGTGTGTGCGTGTACAAATACATTCATAACAGCTCTACAATGGGGAGAGGAGCTGGAAGCAAATAGTCCTCAGCTGCTTAAGGTGAGCTATCACACTATGGCAAGAAGCAGTTAGTAGAACAGCACTGAGACCTTTAAGACCACTGGAACAGCAGTCTTTAAATTCTCTTCTTTCAGGGTGGATTTTAATGACGGGTCAGATAAATCCTTTTCTTCCCCACTTGGTTCCTGAGATTTGCTCTGGATTAGAGAAAATGGTTAGTTTTAAGAAATTAACTCTAAATAATCTGATCTAGTGCTTACAAGAGCAAAGTAAACTATTTCATCATCCAGCCACCAGCTTGCCAAAGACAGGGTAGGATGGGTAAGGCTGGCGAGCTAAGCAAGAAGGGATACCAACGTAAGAAATGCAAGGGTGAAGCTGGAAGCGTGGGCACTGCTGCTCAGTGTGTGCGCATTTGTGATGGACTCACAGCTTCTTAAGCCACCCCCCATCTCCCTTTCTTGTTCCTGGACATGAAGCTTGGGTGGCATTCTTGAAGTAGCCAAAATGTTGGGCGGAGGGGAGGTGTCACAAAACAAAAGCCAATGAACCAACTGGCCAGCGGGTCTGCATTCAGCAAATAAGCCTGACCACACACACATATACATAAAAGGACAGGGGATGCAAAGCAACTGTTCTCAGTCAATGGATGTGTGAGGTGCCACTGAACATGGTAAATAAAGAGCCACACAACATGCGCATGAACTTTCCATCCGGACAGTTCATTGGAAGAGTTACCACGGCTTCTGCCAGTGTGAGTTCACAGCCGGAGTCAGAGGAAGCCAGGTCAGCACTGCCTTCTCCTTCATGCTCCAGATCAACAGAAACATCTTCCTTCAGAGACAGGAGCTGGGAGGAGCCTCCTGGACCAGCTCCTTGCCTGAAGGCAAAGGAGTCCACACTGGACATGGATCCCACTGGAGCATCTGCCATCACTGGAGGTGAGATGGGGACTGTGTTCAAAACTGTGTCCTGTGACAGATTAATCTTTCCCTTTGTTTTTGCTGGTGTCTCAGTCTCAGGTGCTCGCTCTTGTCCTTCCTGGGCTGTCCTTTGTTCAGCTTCACTTTGCTCAAACATCTTAATCTTAGATGCCACTGAGGTTTTCTCGTAGCTCTCACTGTCCTGCCAGCTACTCAGGAGTGGGGCTTCAGTGACACCTCTGTGCTCCTGGCACACAGCTTCAGTTGCAGCAATACACATCAGTGGTCCAGACTCTCTCTTCTGTATTCCACTGCTCACTTGCACCTCTTCCCCATCTTCATACATAAAGGTTGAGAGCTGGTACAACTTGTTGCCTTGACACAAACCTGTTATAGGAGAGTGGGAATGCAAGACATCAGCATCTCCTGGAGACTGCAGTGGCTGCTCCAGAGCAAGGTCTCTAGCAGTTTCTCCTGCCATAGAGCTCCTGCCTTGCAGAGCTTGTCCTGCATTAAACTCCAAGTCACAGGCTGGCTCTTGTGCTTTGGTATCTGCAGGGAGTAGCCCTCCAGACTTAGGACCCTTTTGGGGCAGGTATTCTATTATGATCTCAGCCTTTTGTTCTCGATCTTCTGCCTTGGGAAGCAGCTGTTCCGTGCCTTCCCCTCCCATCAGCTTTCCCAATTTGGGCCCTATGTTCTGGGAGAGCCCTTTCATCACAAGCTGTTCCTCCTGGAGCGCCTCTTCTGTAGCTCTCAGGGTTCCCTTTGCAGCAGAATGATCTGAGTTCTGGACCACTTCCCCTGTGGTGGGATCTCTGAGCAGGATTGTCTCCACTGCACTGCCTTTGCTATGGTGTGGTCCTCTTGCAATAGGATTTGCATCTTGGTATGTTTTCCTTGTAGCAAAGTGCATGTCGTGTTTTTTTTCTATAGATTCAGGACTCACATCACTGGGTATTACCACCTCTGTTACAGGGCTCGTGTCCTCAAGTGCTTCTTTACCTACTGCAGGGCTTGCCTCCTTGCATGCCACCTCTGTTGAGGGGTTCATATCCTCAGGTGTGCCCACATCTCTTACAAGGCTGGCACTCTGGGACAGGTCTTTGCCCTCGGGTTTCATTTCCTGGGCGGGCTCTGCAGGGCTCATTTGCTGAGGAGGAGTGCCAGGGGTGGGAATGCTGGGTTCATTCTCCTCCGGCCCCACAGTGGCATGAGGGGAGCTCTGCTGAGGCACAGCTGATGGGGATAATTTTGTCTCTATCTCTTCCATCTGTAGAACCATTGTGGAGCTTTTCTCCTCCTCCCCATCAGGTAGGCTTCTTTCTGAGAGCCCCCACTCTTCTGTGGAGACATCCAAGCCCCACTGCTCTCCTGCAATTGGATTCTGTCCTGGGCTTTGTCTGGGGTCCTCAGCCCTCTTGAGAGTGCATGGCTTCAATCCTCTTACTGACCTTTGCAGATCCTTCTCATCTGACCCCACCTCTTGGGAAAATAACATGGTGTCATCTCCCTCCAGTGTTTTGCAGCTGGTCAGACTCACTGATGCTTGCTCTTGTTGCACTGTAAAACCTTCCTCCTGCTCCGAGGGAGGCTGTCTTGGCTGTCTTGCAGGGCTTGTCTCATCACAGTCTGTCTCAGGCTGGTCTGGCGCTACAGAAGGTTTTCCTGACACTGCTTCCTGCTGTGTGTACGCTGAGGAATTGCACTGGGACCTTTCTCCCGGACATGCCATGGGCCTTGGTCCTTCCCCTGCCCTATTCACCATGGTTTCTTGCTTCACTGCTGAGCCAAGCTGTCCTCCTGCCTCTGTGAGCAGATGTGTTTTATTGTCCTCCTCTGCCTCCAGATCTCCTAAATAGATGATCCTCTGTGTAGCAGAAGTCTCTGTGTTGTCGTCACCGGATTTCACTTTAATTTTAATGACCTCTGTGATTGCAGTTGGTGCTCTGGCATCCTGCTTCCTGAAGGCTGCAGAAACGTGCTCCTGAGAGCCCATCTTGCTTTCACCATGGACAGGGCCTAGCCCCAAAGCCTCAGCCCTTTGTCTCTCTTCATGCTTCTGATGTGGCCTGGACAGACCCAGTTCACTCCTGGTTACCCCTTCAACCCTCTCTTTGGACTCCTCCTCTGCTCTCTCACATGTCAAGCACTTTGCCTCAGTGCTGGGCTCCTCCCCGGTTTCCTTCTCACAGGTCTCATCCTCCCAGACAGACTCAAAATCTTCAGGACTGGCAATCATTTTTGCTCTCTTCCAGGTATCCAGATGTGCATCTGCTGGTTCTTCCTGGCCTGCCACTTCCTTGGCTTTCCCTACTTCCATCTCCACTTTCGACATGCTCACACTCCTTTTCACCTCTGAAGTACCTGCACGTCCTTCTTCTTTCTTGATTCTCAGAGCTTTCTTTAGAGCTACCTCTTCCAGCCTAGTGGTTTCTCTCTCTATAAATACCCAATGCTCCGAGCCCTGCATTGCAATTGGAGCAAGAAGAGTTAGCATCAAACATATTTTACCTAACAGCTGGTGATTGATTTCATGAGTCACAGACAGCTGACCTGCCTTAGATGGTCAATTACTATTATTATACATGCAAGGGTTGAGGCAGTCTCTATACGAAGAGCCTGGCAACTCACTGATGAAAGGAAAGGACTGAAAAAAAAGGGGCTGGTGTCATGAAGATGATGGTGTTCCTCTATCCTCTACAGGGCCTGGGACCGCGTTCTGTTCTGGGCGATGACCTACTGACATGTCTGCAAAATCTGTGACTTTTTTGGAAATAAAGAAGTGGAAGCAATAAATGGAGAGCTGTTAGGACACTCTCTATGAGGCAAGAGAGCACAGTGAGTTAAATCAAACTTTGACTCCCCATTTTAATACTGGCTCTAGCAGTTTCTGTGATAGCAAAGGGTGAGATTTTATTGTAAACAGTGGTCTTTATTTGACTAGCTTTACTTTCACTTTCATCCACATGCCCTACTACTGCATCAGACTGAGCAAGAAGTAGCATGAGCAAGAAGAGAAGCCACCTTAACAGTGAGTACATGATACAACAAAATGCACTTGTGCTGCTGTGCAAGGGAGGATGCTAGATCTCTGTTTCTACACACACTCGGTATGCGCTGATCCTGCAAGATACCTGAAGACAGCACAGGCTCCAAGGACAAAGCACTGTTAAAATTCAGCCACTTCTAGAACAGAAGGTTGAAAATAACCCAGAATAACAGAGCAGGAGGAAAACAGCAATGAGCATTTGTACTGATGAGGAAACCCAGCAGCCTCCCCAGCCATTCTAGGGTACATGGCACAAACGTGAGCGGCAGAGCTGCAGGCACAGTACAGTACAGCAGAGCTCACCACAGGGCTCCTGTGGCTATCCTAGGCTGGCTCAGTCCACAGCATGGGATGCCCAAGGCACAGGCCTGCAGGACAGAGCCAGCATTGCCTCTTTGCAGTGAGAGAGACTGGCCTCCTGCATCACCGCTGTGTGCAGCAGCCCCAGGGGAGTGCAGCTGGCTGTGCTCTCCCTGCCCAAAGTAGGAAAAGTAAGCTGTGCCAAGGAGAGCTGGACTGCCAGTGCCCTATACAAGGGTGTCAGGTTGAATGTTTGGAGTTGTTGCAGCTGAAGTGGAAACCTAATAACTGATAATGAGCAAGGAGAAACAGAGGACAGAGGGGAGCAGAGACAGAAAAGGTAAGACAAGATTAGAGGAGAGAAAGAAGGGAGGATAAACAATTGATAATGAAAAGGCTTCCACAGGGAGAGGAATAAGAAATCCCTGAATCATTAAGTGATTTGAGTTGGAAAGGACATTAGGGACCCCTTAGTTCCAACCCTGCTGCCATGGGTAGGAACAGCTTTCACTAGATCAGATTGCCCAAAGCCCCATCCAAGCTGGCCTTGAATATTGCCAGTGATGGGATAATACACAGCCTCAGGGCAGCCTGTTCCAGTGCCTCACTGCCCTCACAGTAAATAATTTCCTAACTCTCACAGTTTAAATCTGGTGCCAAAGAAAGGCCTGTGGCTCCTGCATCTTTAGGTTGTGGCTCCAGCACCACCCAGGCCACCAATGGGCCTCACACTGGCTCCTTTCTTTCCCGGCTCCGCTAAGAGCATATAGCTATTGCACAGCAGCCGTGAAAATCTGCCATGAGCACTGTCAGGAGCTGTGCCTCAGCTGGAAGCCCCACAGCACTGTGAGCAAACACAGCACCCAGCCTGCAACTCTGTCTCACTTGAGGCCACACGTACCCACCGCAGTGGGCACCTTCACAGAGATCCTGTGCCAGCTCTGCTGGCTGCATGCCCTGGGTGGGTTCCCTCCTGCCATAGCCAGCAGCCCTGCACAGAAGCACCAAAGGAGGCTGAGCCCTCAGGGGACCCATCCTCTGCCAGCTTCCCACACTAACGCTTGCAGAAGCCTCTCTGGTATCACTCCTGAGTGTAACTTCTTTTCCAACACTGTCTGCTCTCCAGGTCCTCTCCTCTACACCTGTGTCTCTCAGTGGGCTTCTCATGACGATTTTATTCCTTTTTAGATGCAGCACAGGTGGTCAGTGACTCCCCAGGAGCATCTGCGTGTTTAATGGGTGAGTTTGACCCCTGGAGCAACACTACCATTACCTCAATGGATGCCTCTGTCCTGCCAGGATGCCCACGTCAGTTTCTCAACACTAGCAATGCTCACGGGTGAGTAAGCCAGAGGACTGCTTACTTCCCTGAGGGTACAGAAGCTTCTCTTCTACTGCTGTACTGCAGCCTCACTGCTCAACCCCCCCCCCTTTTTTTTTTTTTTTTTTTTTTTGCAACCAAGACATCAATGGATAAGGTATGAGCACAGGTACATATCTCTTCAGTCTTCTTCCCTTTCTCTGGCTGAAAATCAGTCCTTCAGAGGGGACTTTCTCTGGACAGAGATGATGAGCTTGATCAGGCTCCTGCTCTGAGTTAAGGCTCTAACACAAGTAGATATCAAAGATCCTTAAGTCTTCTGAAGCCTGAAACAGAGTGTTGATCCACAGCAGTACATCATACCAGTAAGGAAAAACTGCAAATCTCTGGATTAATCTCCAAACCTGCTCCCTTATCAAATTTGTTGGGATGAGTATGACCCATTCCAGGGAAACAGTGATCGCTCTGTGGTTTGCTTTGAACTCTCTGCTTCAGATGGCTCAAAGCCAGCTCTGGCCACAGCCCTGGTTCCACAGCTCTGGGCAGCTCTTGAGTCTCCAGAGCTTGAGGGCTCTTGGGCATGCTCAGAGCAAATAAGTGGATGGGTGGGCACGTCCTCCAGGAGAGCAGAGAACTTGGCAGGTCAGTGTGCCAAGGTAGAAGCTGAGCCTAAGAGGTGATGATGCTGGTCTGATAATAGCGCAACCTGGACATCCCCAAGGGATAATTTACTCTCAAATCTATGCTAACACACTCCCTCCAGAGAACAGGAACAGGTAGGAACACAGTGGCCTGCACATTACAAGAGAGGACAAACTGGGAGATAGGAAAGAAATGAAACAAGACAGAGCAGACAGCCTTCTACACCTGATAGCTGCAGGCAAAACTCAACCTTCGAGGAGCCCAGGGCAGACAGGTGGCTTTTTCTTTTAGCACTATTTGATGTACTTGCCTTTTTTTTTTCTTTTTTTTTTCTCTCTCTCTCAGGGTGTCCTGGCTCACCAGAAAGGAACACATGAGCTTTACAATAAGGAGGAAAGAATGAATGAACCAAGATCAGCATGACACACCGTCTCCAAAGCTGCTCCAAAGCTGCCGGGACTCCATTCACCTTCTAATCCAGCACCCTTCCTCCAGCAGGACAAGAAAAGTGGGGAGGGGGAAGAAGTGGCTGTGTGTAGGCAGTGGGTGACAGATAACCCAACCTCAGCAACTCTGTGGACACCAAGGGACTTTTGAGTTGAGCACAATGCCAACTTCGCAGATGTGCTGATTTTTGTGCAGTCACCCTCAAGGGACTCTGAATTCCTCATAGAGACCATCAGTCATGTGTGGGCAAGATCTCATACATCAGTGGAGAGAAATCTCGGGTGAGACCAGCTGGCTGCCCACACTTCAGTGCAGCCCTGGCACCCTGAGGGCAGAAGACAGGAAGCCATGCATTAAGTGCTGTGTGCCCACCTCACTACTGCGACTTCTGTGCAAAGGCTCTAGCAGAGACAGCATCTGACTTCTGTCCATCCTGCACAGACACAGTCTCCAGCCCGCAGGGAGGGCTCCCAATCATCCTTCACACAGTGGCATTGCACCCTGAAGTGAGAGGCAGCGGCAGAGTGGAGCCAGCTGTGCACTGGCCCCATCCACCTGCCCCAGACTGAAGCTGCTCTTGCTCTGCTGCCTTTTCTGGATGCATTCAGGAAGGACATGCACTCCAGTGCTGCTGCGCACCACATTTGTTGTGGTTGGGTCCAACTGCATCAGAGCCAAGTTTCTGAGACTAGTTTTCTTCTACTCAGTATTATCCAATTTCAGCTGTCTCAGGAAAGAACTGCTATCATGTGAGATAAAACCCTGTATGCAAGCAGTGCTGAAAGGACTCACAGAAATAAGGACTTCAAAGTAGGGTGATGCTGCTTTGTACAGGCAAAAGTCTGATATTTCAGATGTATCCAGAGATGTCCTAATTCAAGGCACCTGGGCCTAAGCAACTGTAGCTGCAGCTGAAGGGAGAGGAAAACATAAGAGACTGCTAAAGACTATTTGTAGCTGGGCGTCTTGCACCTGGAGGAGATGTTTGCAGAGCAACAGTGCCAAGGGCCCCAGCTGTACCTCCTGGGACTCCTGGTACCAGCTCCAGCACAGACTCTCATGCAGAGCAGAGCCAACCCTGGGGGATGCCCTACCACCACTGACCATCAGGGCTTCACCAGCAGGTCTCCCAGGACCCTGTCACAGATCCAAAACACAGCAGGCACAGGAGCAGATTTCACCAACAGCCTTGACCCAGTCCTGGTCCCACCCAGAGGTGCCAGCAAACAGCTTGAGCTCTGCTTGGAGAGCCCCTGAGAGGCACCATGGGGAAGGCAAACTGTGAGAATGAAGGGAGAGAAGAGAAGAGAAGAGAAGAGAAGAGAAGAGAAGAGAAGAGAAGAGAAGAGAAAAGAAAAGAGAAAAGAAAAGGGATGGTGATAACCTCAGGAGAAGAGACAAGGCTTTTCTGCGTGAAAGACTCCATGCTTAGGGAAGCTCCATGCTCAGATGCAAAATCGTCTAGGGTGTCTTCTTCCATCCTCTGTGTCAGCACGGAAACCCCAGCACCCATGGGGAAAGAGAGAGAGAGAGACAGAGACAGAGAGAGAAACAGACAGAGAGCACATGAAAAGGAAGGATAGAACGAAGGGATGGATGGATGAACAGAGATCACAGCTATGACAACTCTAGATGCTCCATTTAGGTCTTTCTTTGCACATATATATATATCTGCTTGTAAAACACATATAGTGCGGAAACCTTTCTTCCTCTTGCCATCTTGGTGCTTTGATGAGGGCTTGTGAGCTCTCTCAGATCACCTCTGCCTGGGATGCTCTGCAACCCCAACCCAGCCAGCCCCGTATCCCCACTTGTGTAGGCACCTCCTTGCAGTGCAGTGCTGTGTCCTCATTTTCTCAGTGAGACCATCTCAGGACAGAGCTGTGGCACAGGGGGCACCATGCACATTGTTTGTGTGGGCTGCGCAGCTCTCATGGAGAAGAGAATGCCAATGTTTGGAGAACAAGCAGAGAGTGTCTGGTGCTCACAGCCCACGGATGCCCACACTATGTGCTGCCTGAGTTGAGCCAGATAGCCCAACCCCACACAGCACTCAGCTGCAGCGCATCCACTCCCCTCTAGCAGTGAGAGGGGTCTGCACAGCCCAGCCCTCCCACTCTGGGACCCGGGCACTTTCCATTCTCATTCAGGGCAGAAGTCCAACTGCAAAGCCAGAAGATAAAATGCCAGGAGGAAAGGACATGAGTGCAGGATCCCACAGTAGCACTGCTAATCCTCCTCCTGCTCCCATCAACCAGGTCTTGGCAACTGAGCACAACATGGGGCACTTAAGCACGGTAGACCAGTCCCACACTCATGGGAACACCCCTTGGAATAGACCTGTAACAGGTGCTGACAAGCAGGAGCTCTGATAGGGTAAGGGGTGAAGAAGGCCCCATCTCATGGGCTAACAAAGCCTCAGCCCAACTCACAGCCCCCAGTAAAGGATATGTTCGAAACCATGCAGTGCCTGGGCACAAGGGGAGCTCACTACCAGCAGCATGAAAACAGTTAGCTCATTAACAAACTTAGAGACAATAACCTGACCAAGGGCCCCACCAAGCTTCCCTCAGGGCTACAGTGGAGACAGAGACCAGGAGCCCACCAACTGATGAACACCTGCCTGTAAACAGTCTGATCCCCTCCGTAACACAGCAGCAGAACAAACCTCGCTGGCCTTTTCTGGGGTTCCCTTCGGTGTCTCCTCCTCATGCTTGGGTGAGGAAGAGGCTGGTGAGGAAGGCAGCCTCCTGTCCCGGTCCCTGTGAACCAGCTTGCTGTTGGGCTCCTTCAGGGTCCGTTTCAGCTCATTGATGCTGGCCTGATGCTTTAGCAAAACATCTTCTGGTTTGTCTAAAAACTTGGGGAAGGAGAAAGGAATGTAACAATGACTAAAGCACTAGCCAAGGCCAAAAAGGCAAGCAGAGACACTGGAGCGAGTCAGCTTTATACTGGGGTTGAATTTAGGGTCTGAAGAGCCAAATGAAAAGCATATCTGAGCACCCTGGGCTGCAGTTCTCACTAAGACCATTGTAGGGAGCAACAATAAGGCAGGGAGTGGCAGAACATCCACAGTGAGCTTTCCTCAGTGAAGGGCGCAACATGACCCTGGGGCATCTCCAGCATGGCCTTGTGAGGATGAGATAAACCATCTGGGGGAAGAGAGAGGGGTCTCCTTGGGGACCAGCACAAGAAATATCAGTAACCAAAACTCTGCTGCTCCCACGTGCAAGGCACAAAGGGACCAAGAGCCTCTGTCCCAGGAGGGCAGGAAACCATCATCTGAGCAAGAGCTTTCAGGAGTCACTCACTGGCATTTCTAATGGAGTGCCTTCAAAATGGGTTTCTGCCAATGGGCAAGAGGTCAAAGGCTACCAACAAAGGTCAAGGACGACCAACATGGATCCAAGCCTGCAACAGCATGGACCAGCTTGAGCCCAGCAGCAGTCTGGGGTGGGGGTTGGGTCTGGCCTGCTGTAGAAAGAGGACAGCTCAGAGAATTCAAGTGCATGGTGAGGTTTAGGTGTTAAAGCATCCTTTGTTGATGTTACAGGCACCAGGATGGCTCCTTTTGTTCTGCCACAGAGGTGGGCAAACTAGCTCAGAACAAGAACCTGGCTTTCACTTCAAACTCAAACCTGGTTTGAGGTTCGAAACGAGTCAACTGAATTATCTACCCTCTCCCATACTTCTCCTCAGCAAAATCCCAGAGACACAAAGGAGTCTCATACGGAAAGCCCAGACAAATTTCCAGATCCTGAAGACTCAGCAGAATTTATTTAAAGCTCCCTGATCCATCCGCATGTGCTTCACAGTTTGCCCACCTCTATAGGCTCAGGGTAGTGCCAGGCGCACGGGGCTGCAGGAGCAGCACATGCACATGCAGCAGGAGTAAGCAATGAGGCAGACAGTGGAGGGACCGTGCTCAGCACGGGGCTGCGGGGCAAGATGCCAGCCTGCTGCACCAGTAGGTTTTGCCCTGCTGTGCTGAGCAGGATAGCAATGGCTGTGTGCTTGAAGCACAGCAAGCCCTGGCTCACGGCCACACAGCTGAAGGTGCTAGCGCTTCCTTGGCCTCTGCTGACTGGTCCCGTGATGACCCAAACCCCAGTGTGAGTGGAGGGGGAAACCTTCAGAGCACAGCTCTGAACTTAAGGCTGGGATATAACAGCAGACTCAGGCTGAGGAGATCTCTGCTGGACATTTCTGAGGGGAAGGAGGCACTGCAGACACGGGCAATTTGTGCAAGAGGAGAGCACAGACTCTCTCCCACCTGTGACAACACACCCTGGCCAGGCCAGCCACACTCAGATGGGGAGCTGCTCCATGGCACTCCACTGGGCTGGGTGTCAGGGTGTGCCCCTGATGGGCTCAGGGACTCATTTGCTTCTGGCAGGGCAGAAAGGCAGCAAGGAGCTTCATGAAAGCAGGGCACATGATGCAGTCCCCAGGTCAGGAAATGCAAAAGCAGAGAGCAAGCCAGGGCACAGGGTCTCACAGGGAGGTGGAAGCGATAGGGCCAGCTTGCACCACGTCTGTCCCTTCAGCAGGAGGATTAAGGCCACGGGGTTGGACAAAGAGAAAACATGAGGAGAGGATATGGAGGAGTCAGTAACATGAGCAGAAGCCAGGTGTTCCCAACGGGCCAAGGACCCGGCATAGCGGCCTGGCCGATGTGCCTTGGGAGGGCTCTTGCTCACACATACAGTTAGGACTACCTTACTTAGTGGGATAGAAGATGCTGTGTGTGCTCTGGGGCAGATCCCCAGCTGTCTGCTCACTGGGAGTCTCTAGCAGGTCAAACTCCCCACCTCGGTGCATCTTGTATTCCAGTAAATAGGGTGACACACAGTGGTGCATTGAAAAGAATGGACAATATGATGCACCGATGAGAACTAGATACTCCAGAGAGAGAATACCTCCTGCTTGTGCCTGGGGGTTGTTTCGTGCTCCGGCTGGCAGCAAAGAGAGGGTTAAAAGTAACCAGCAGAGTCAGTGAGGGAAATTCTCATAAGCATCACAATTCAGTTGAATTTGGGCACATACACAGACCCCTGCCCACAGCCAGGACTGGTAGCAGCACAAAAGGACTGAATCCCCTGCTCAGTGCAGGGCTGAATTGGACTAGGGTGCATCCCAAGCCAGTCCAGGAGTGGGCAGAGAGCAGAGGGGCACAGCTGCACGCTGGCAGGGTGCGGGTATGGGCATGTAGCTATGGGCACCAATGGAACAGGGGCCCAGTATGCTCCCAGCAGCCAAGGATCTCTTTGCTTGCATGGTGGTGACTGTTGGCACACTTGGCCCTTCCTGGTCCCGCGCGTCAGAGTGAGGCTGTCCCACAACCAGCCCTGTCTGGTGACCAGCCATGAGACAACCTGGAGGGTGCTGGGAAAATTGTAGCTGCTTCTGAGTAGGGCATGATGGCTCCATGCCCACTGGTGAGGCCAAGAGCCATGTCCCCAGACTAGATGGGTCATAGCAAGAACTGGGGCTTGTCTCATGGAGAAGGGGTTTCAGATGACCGTTCCCCAGTGCAGTCCTTCCCACCTGCAGCCCAGCCCCAAGAGAGGAAGACAGAGCCCTGATGCCTGTGTCCCATCCCCCTGCTTATCTGCTCTGGTTATGAGCCAGCCCACCCATCCACCTCCATGGTCTGCTGCCCATGAGGTCTGTACCTTCAGCTCCTTGATCTTCGTCGGGGTAGTCACCTCCTCATCCTCTGTCTCAGATCGTCTCCCACTGCCAAACTCACCATCCTCCTCCTGTTTTTCACCCTCTGCTCCAGCATCGTGGTTCTCACTGACAGAGGCTGGGCGTGAGAACTCTGTGCATGCAGAAAGAGTCAGGTCACGAGCAGTGAGCCACCACCCCTGGCCCTGCCTACCCCAGCCCTCTGCCCCCTGCCCCAGTCTGGCTTAGAGTCAGTGGCAGTGGAGCCCCAAAAGGACCTGCAGCAGGGAAGGGATTCTTGATGGTGATGATGACCCAAAGCTTAGTACTTTATCACTCCTTGCACCACCCAGGCCTTCATATCTGCCCTGTGACCAGGCAGCCGTAGCCAGCCATACCCATGTCCCCGCTGCTCACACAGTCTGAGGTACCACTTGGGGGGCAGAAAGACCCTCTGCCAGGGAGATCTGGGTAGAGAGAGCCTCTGGAAGTAACCCTAGCTGCCCACCCCTCCAAAGCGGCCTTCTTGTTCCCGCCAGCAGACCGATCTCACTCCCCCTGCCCTGTTTGGGGCATACCTCCATCAAGGCTGCGAGACATGGTGTACCGTTTGCTGGAGGAACGCTCGAAGAAGGGCGCTGGGCGGTCAATGAGGGCGCTGGCCTGCCGTGTCTGTGCCTGCGTCCGCCCGCTGTAGCGGAACTTAGAGCCCATCACCAAGAAGCCCTTCGGGGGCGGCTCTGGAGATACCAGCCTGGGGACAGAGAGATGAGGTGGTCAGTGAGTCCCAGCTGTGCCCCCGGCACCGGCCCCAGACACCAGTGTGCAGAGCAGAGCTGAGATCACAGTGAAGGAGTTGAGATGGCATCGGTGCAGGGCTAAAGAAGTGACAGAAGGAATTCAGCATTACAGGAAGTTCAGGGCTGAACCAGCAAGTGGTTCTTGGCAGTGGTGTGTGGTGGAGCCAATGGAGCAGATATGGCCTCGTACGTGGGAAAGACAAACCCATGCCTAACATAATTGGGGTGCAGCAGGTCTGAGGCTGAGAGAGAAGCAGAACTCTTCCTTCCCTGCACACAAAAGGCAGAGTGGCTCAATGCAAGGGGCACGAGGCATGGGATGGATAGCCCCTGCTGCAGGTGAGAGGACAGCCAGCTCTTTCTCAGGCAGGGTGCAGGCACCCAGCACACTCCCCTGCCCCAAGTGAGCATGCTGGGACAGGCCAGAGACAGGAGCACGCCTGCCTCCAAGGCCTGGAAAAGGGCTCCTCACCTGAAGAAGGTGTGATGCTCTATGCAGACCTTCCAGAGACGCTTGGCGGAACGGTGATTAGGCAGCTTGAAGCCAATGGTGCTCTCAAACTGCTCATACTTGGGAGAGATAGAGACATGCAGTTACAGGCAGATCCTGCCCAAAGGGACATGATGGGATGGGGCCTGACATGCCAAGACCTTCAGGTTCCCCTGGCAGGAGCTATGGCCATACAAAATGTCTTCTTCAAACCAGTGCTGGAAAGGCTCATGCCCAGCCCCAAAGGCTGGTGGAATTATGCCCTTACAATTTCGGCCTAAGCACCTTCCTCAATCCCGCATTTTCAGTGCAAGAGAAATTCCCTCAAGAAACAGAAAACCCTCACAGCTTATTTTGGTGTTTTATTTTGGGAATAAAACACCAAAACACTTATTTTGGGAATCTCTCACTCCATTTCAGATGCACTGTCCGCGGGGAAGAATATGGGTAGAAATGAATTCTCCCATCAGTACACGTAAAGGGAAAGAGAATGAAATTAAAGTCAGAAAGCACTGATACAAAACAAAAGAAAAAAACTCCAAACGTCTCAGGGTTTTTTTCGTGTGTTTTAAGTATGGAAGACAAATTTTAAAAATGATTTTGCAACCCCATTCCTGGGACACCTCCCCGTGTCAACAGGCTCACAAGTGTCTGGCTTATGGCAAAAGGATTATGATATGCTTTGAGATCTTTGAACTGCTGTGGCCAAAGACATGAAAGGCAATGAGAGCAAGAGTGCAAATGAGAAGACACTTGCTCAAAGCCTCCCTCACCACAGGAGCTGTGCTCTCTCAGCCAGCTGAGGCCATTACCTTGGGACTTAGAGGCTAAGAATGAAGCCAGATGAGGACCATGGTCCCACTCTGGCACAGCAGGCACCCTGCTGTGATCCTGGGTCATGCTGTACCCACGGCACCCACCTCACCAGGGCGGATTTTGATGTAGAAATTACTCCTCTTGTAGGAAATTTTGAGGATCTTGGGCCAGGCAAAACGGTTGATCCTCAATCGGTCCCTGTAGATGAGGAGGCCATTGGCACAGACTCCCAGCATGATGTCAATACCCTCTGAGTCCTGGAGGAGACAAGAAGAAAAGGAAGAAACTGCTCAGCTGTCCAGTAAGAGTCAGTCCATCCAGGAGTACCATGCTTCCTCCTACTCAGCACTCTGGCTACTTGCAACCAGCTGGTAGAGGTCACAGAATCACAGGACAGTTAAAGTTGGAAGGGACCTTTGGTCTGGTCCAACACCTCTGCTCAAGCAAGGCCACCAACAGTAGGTTGTGCAGGACTATATCCAGACAGATTTTGAAAATCTCCAAAGAGGAGACCCCACAAAATCTCCAAAGAGGAGACCTCTCTGAGCAACCTGTGCCATACAGCAGAAGTTCTTCCTGAAGTTCAGAGGGAACTTTCTGTGTTTTAGTATCTGGCCATTGCCTCCGGTCTTGTGAGTGCATGCTAAAGACTAAAAAGACTCTAGCTACACTCTCTTTGAATCTTTTCTCCAGGTCTTTATACACCTCACTGAGAACACCCTGAGCCTTTTCCAGGTTGAGAAGTCCCAGCTCCCTCATCCTTTCCTTATACAGGAGGTGCTTCAAACCCTTCATCATCCTCATGGTCCTTTGCTGCATTTTATCCAATAGTTCCATGCCCTTAGAATACTGAGGAGTTCGGAACTGAGCACAGCAGTCCAGGCGTGGCCTCACCAGTGCAGAGTAGGGGGGAAGGATCACCACCCTCAGCATGCTGGCAATACTCTGCCCAATGCAGCCCAGGATAGCATTGGCAAAGCATTGCCACAAGGGCACACTGTTGACTCATATTCAAGCTGCTGCCTGCCAGGAGTCCCTGGGTGTTATCTGCTAAGCTGCTTTCCAGCTGGATGTCCCCAGCATGTCCTGGTACCCAGGCTTTTTCTCACCCCATATACATGACTTTGCATGTACCCATGTTGAACTAGTAGTTTCAGTTCTGTTCTGCTCTTCTGCCCAAGGGGCACCCCCAAAGGAACTCGGGCACACATCGGCCACACATCACTGAACCAACTGTAGGAAACAGAGCTGCACCTACAGCAAGCCAATAGTTGCCAGTGGTATGCTGGCACAATGGCAGGATGAGACCCAGTGCTGGCCACCACTCCCACAGCTCCTCAGCGCAGTACCTTGGCATGGTGCAGGTCCACCCCATACATGGAGAGCTTCTTGGCATTCTCAAGGAAGTGGATCTCTGCTTCCCCAGGGGTCATGCCCCTGCAGAGTGACAGAGAAGGGGACACATGACCAGATGCCCAGTGGGGAAACAGGCCAGCTCCTCGGTGCCCTCCCTCATCACCAGCTGGGGCTCACCGGTAGGTCTTGTGCAGCTCCATGATGCGCTCCTCCAGCTCCCGTGTCTGGTTGGGAGCAAAGCGGAGCTCACTGACATAGTTGCCTACATGTTCCTCAGCATCATAGTCACCCAGTTCGGCCTGCACAGCATAGGAGCCCAGCAGGGCATGCGTAACGAAGGAGCAGGGCAGTCGCCCCGTGATGATATCTGCACGCAGCTGCAGGCACAAGTAGTATCTGCAAGAGGAAGCAGAGAGTAAGGGTGGGACAGAGGTTTGTGCTCTTAGAGCACTCTGTGACACTGCATGGAAAGGACACCCACACTGCTTGGCTCCCTGTGGGCGCTTCCACCTCCCACTGACACTTTCCCAGGCCCACTCTGCACAATTTAGAGGTGCCATGCACAGAGGCAGTGAGACACTGACATCTATCCACCCTGTCCACCCAGCTGCTGCCCTGCCTGAGCACTGGCCCTCCACGCACTCCTGCCCACTCCTCTGGAAGCTGCCTCAGCAGCTCTGCCCATCATGGACACACTGCCTGGGGGGCCCCAATAGCAAACCTCACCTTGTGATGTCCTCCGTGAGCTGAGCAGGGTCAGGAGGGTAAAACTTCACAGTGAAGGCAAAGTTCCAGGGCCCACCTAGCGAGGGAGCAGTAAGGGCAGGGCTTGTGATGGCTGCCAGCAGACTGCACAGAGCATCCAGGCATTTAAATAAAGTGTCCCAGGACTCCAAAAAACCCAGTGCAGGGCAGGAACGAGGGAGCTCCAGAGGCCACAAGGAAGATGAACCCCTGAGAGTAGCTCCCAGCTGCTCTGGCCAGAAAGACTAATGTGATTTGGTCAAACAACCCAAACAGTTGAGGAGAGAGAAGCATCACAACCTTGGGAGTCATCATCTCAGATTGCTTCATGCCAAAATGCAAATCACAGCAAAAGCCATATACATCCCAGTGGGGTGACACCATGGGCACTGGCGCTTCTGCCTCAAAAGTGCATGGTCTGGCAAGGCAGCATCATAAAGGCTCTCCTGTATCCTGGTACCCATACAAGCAAGCTCACTCCATGCCTCCCACAGCCCCATCCTCCCCACTCAGGGCAGGAGGAAATGGCACAGAGGGAGTGATGAGGTCTCAGCCACTCTCTCCCTGCTCTCCAATGCCACTTTGATGCTCACACCTGTCACAAGCAGAAGGGGAGGCTGATAGGGCTAACACGCAGATGAATAAGCAATACCTCCAGGCCCCAGTCCTGCATCACACCTTGCAGGAACCTCCTATGTGCCTGTAGAGGGCACAGCAAGGACAGAGCAGTCAGGGGCATCACACTGGGGTCAGGGTGAAGGACAGATGTGGGAATGGGGAGAAAGTGAGTTTCCCTACTGCAGTGGCTGAATTCACACAGGGCCCAGTTTCCAGCCACTTCCAGCCCAGGTTTCCCATGCATGACATCCTGGAGCTTCAGGTGCCCAGCTGCATCCTGGCCTTGTCCCATGACCTGCCTGGAACCCATTGAGGGCAGAAAGTTACAAGCAGCAGCAAGGGCTCAACCATGAACACTACCTGGGGCCAAGCTACCTGGGAGACCTGTGGGCCCCAGCACTTGTAGGGAAGTTGCCCTCACCAATTACTTACTGCGGATCTGCTTCTTGATCTCCTTGGAGGGGTCCAGCCAGTTCTGAAAGGAGGAGACAGCATGTCAGATGGCAGGCTGCCCTGCTCAGCAGTGGGGTGGCTACAGAGGGGTCCCCCAGGCTCACCTTCTGGCTGTCGGAGTCGCAGAAGGTGAGGCCAAAGTAGTCCTTCTCCAGGAGGTTGAGGTGCTCACATACCATGTCAAAGAGAACCTGGCCTCGGGCATGCTTCTGCAGGAGATATGGAGATGCTCACAGGGAGCCAGAAGACAAAGGCACCAGGGGAGGGTGGTGCCAAGCCAGGGCGATTCAGCCAGCCCGGGAACCTCTGACCCATACCACAGGGCTGGCACAAACACACCCCAAACCTCTTGGGAGATGATGCTGCCTGAAGGACAAGCTCCTTCCCAACACCCTCCCCAGCTGCAAGTAGTGGCCAGGTCCCAAGGCACAGCAGGACGAAAGAAAGGCATGAAAAGTCTGAGCCACATGCTGTGATAGAAGGGCCATTGTTACCCAGCCCTTTGAATTTCCCTGCATATTTTTGCTTCATACCAGTGTCAGTGAGGCAATAAGGATCGCTCATGGAGATGCCCATGTGTTTATCCCACACTCACAGCCTTCTTGGCCCAGGAGACCCAGACCTCCTGTCTCTGAGGCACCCATTCCTTCAAGTACCTCCACCAAGCAATCTGACACTGGAGCCAAGAGCACCACTCACACAGAAACTAGCACTGCTCCAGCATCCCACTGCTGACAGACTCCCAGCCTCAAATTCCTCCTGACCTCCAAATCTTTTTCATTTCACTCAGCAGTAACCACACCCTTTCTGTTATCCTCCCTTTCCTGCTGACCCAGACTTCCAAGGCAGGATTTCAGTACATAGCATCTCAAGGGCTACCACATCAAATGGTTTGACCTCTCTTTTTGATTTTTACAGAATTAAATATTAACAATCCCTGTGTGCAGGCATGGCAGAACTATTTCTATGGAGCCTAGCAAAATGAAAGAAGAAATTCAGCACATATCTTTCTGCGCTAAACAATTTCTTCTCCTCTCCCCTATGCCCCAAATGACTTCTCCAGAGAGCAGAAGCTCCCTGCTTGCTGAGTCAACCCTATGCATTGCACTGCAACAGAGAAATCAACCTTACCATGAATAAAGTCCCACATGCCCCAGCACACTGCCAACATCAAGCACTGGGAACAAAAACAGACTAAAAACAAAGCTCAGCGGGAGCTGGGACTGTAAAGCTCTGCTTTTCCTAAGCTTGGCGAGAAGTATTGTTCTGGTAATGAAGCAGCCAGCCACTGTACAACCCAGCTTTCTGTTTGCATGCAGGTTTTGCTTGGAAAACACAAATTGGGCCTGGAGAAGGATGACACCACCTCATGCTGTTTCAGGGCTGACCAAACTCTCTCCTTTGTCCCATGAGCCTACTGCAGTCATGGCAAGTGCTCTGCTCCAGTTCCTATTCGAGGGAGCTTACATTTTCATGAGGATCCATCTTGCCACAGTCACTAAGGCTTGCTGTGGCAGACCTTACCACTGAAATGACAGTCAGGGCTGCCGGAGCTGAGACACCAAGGCCATTATTGCCAGTGCTGCAGCACAAAGGCCAGCCCCCCAGCTCCCAGTAACTGCCTTGGGGCACTCACTTTTCCAGTGCAGCCACAGAGAGCAGGAAGCTACATTCCCTACATTCATTAATCCTGCACAGTTGAGACCTCATAGAACCAGGACCTGCATACAGATGCAGGTCTGCTGTGCGCAGCCAGACTCACAAGCCGCTGTCACCATACTGGGAACAAGACGTCTTCACTCGCTCATCAGCAGCAAGTGCAAAGGTCTCCCTGGCAAAGGCTTGAGGATTTCTGCTTCTGAACAGTCTCAGCATTTGCATTTTTCACATAAAGTTTCTCAGAAATGTTCCTCTCACCAGGAAGATGCTACATGTCAGAGAAGTGCTGTCCCCTCGATCCTGCAGGCAGGAGACAGCAGCACATGTGAGGGACAGAAATGTGCTCTCCTAGCAAACACCCCTCCTCTGAGCAGGCTCAGAGCCTCCTCCCCAGTCCCCTACTGCAGGAACCAGTCCAAACTCTACCCTTGATTTAATGCTGGGTGTTTCCTCACTGCGCTGATAGCAGCTCAAGCAGCCCTGGAGTATATCCCAGCATAAGGCTGCCTCTGGTGGGCACCAGTCCGTCTGTTCCTTCCTGCAGTGACAGCCACTACCAGACAATCATGTGCTCACACTGCATGTGTGTGATGGTGCACAAATAGTGAGCAGACATGTGCCCAGAGCAGGGTGCCTGGCCCGCTGCCCTGCCCGCACACACGACGCATCAACAGCACATATGAATCACTTTTGTTTACACACACACACACACGCACACACACACACACCACTGCCAGGCTTCAGCACACCTCCCAAACAGTCCCTGCGCTGCTAGCTCCATGGGGAGGAACAGCGAGGGATGAGAAGATGAAAACAGTGAGGATGGGGTGAGGTGCAGTTTGTAGCACTGCCAAACTGTGTGTGGGTCTGTGTGCACACACAAACCTGTCTGGCAGAGCCATGTGTGCCTGCACACGTTGGTCTCTTCACACAAACACACGCACACACATCCTTTGCCTTGGCATGCGGGACAGCAAACATGCTGCACTCCTGAGGTGTCAACAGATACACTGGCATATGTATGTGTCATGCACATATTTTCAGGCACATATTTGAAGGCAAAGCTTTTTCTCCAACTTCTGCTTCCTAGACACTGTTTTTGATAGCAACTAGCTAACAAATTTGGGCACTCTGGGCTGAAACTGCCTTCTAGGGTCTGTCTCCCCAGCCTTTTTCTTTGTTTTGAAATTCCAACTTGAACAGTTATTCCTGTGGATCATTTTGTCTGTATGAGAAGTACTACAAAGCTGTCCTTGGAAGAACCATGACACTGGGGATTTGCTCGAGACCAGCCTTGGGCTGACACATCTCCTATTCAGTTCCAGTGTACCTTCCCCAAGCGCACGACTCACCTCCACTTCACACTCATACTCAGAGGCATCGAGCAGGGTCACTCTGCAGAGAGCACTTTTGACTTTCTTGTTGATTTTCTGGGGTGACTTCTGGGTCTTGCTAGGCGTTGTTTTGTCAGATAGCCCATCTGTCTCACTGTAGTCTTTCTCCTCCATGTCTGTGCCCTGGAGAGTAAGAGATGCACATGGTAACCTGGCACCACTGCAAGGATGGAAGCCTCTGCTTCCATACCTTAGCAGTGCAGTAGTCCATGCTACAAGCAGCTCCCCCATCCCACACTGTTTTGGTATAGTCATGGATGGACTCTGGAAAAAGTATGCCTGTGAGTCTGGTGCTGGTTCAGCAGTTGAGACCTCCCTGCTCGGGAAGCTGAGGCAGCTCTATGGCTGCTGGCAGCATTGGCAGCAGTGTGGAGCTGAGGCTCCCTGCCTGGTGGTGGCCATTGGGGTGTACCTGTTGCTCCCAGCCTTGCTGAGGCAGCTCAGTTTCTAGGATGCTTGGCCACCTGCTGCCTTCTGCCCTTAGTGCGAGCACGAAGCTCATCTGCTGACCTGCACAGGCTTCTCATGTGCATGCCCAGCCTGCAGTGCTCAGGACACAAATTGCTACTTGAGAAAGTGGCTGTGCAAAGCCCACATCTTGCTTACAGGGCCCCTGCCCTGCAGCAGGGAGCATGCCCAACCCTCAGGGAAGGATAAGAGGCTGCAGAGTCACAGCACACCAGAAAACAGCACTTATAAAGGGTCTGGCATATAACAGCTAGGGCTCCCTCTTCCCTGCAGGCAGCAGTTTGTGGGCTGGGTATGCCAAGTGCCCTGTTCTGGTCTGACACCAAGAGCTGCTGGAAACAGCTGGAAGCTAAAGCTACCTTCAGTCACCCAGAGCCATCCTTTCCCTCCTGGGCTCCTCTCACTCTCACTCACCGGCTCTGTATTCCGGCTGTCAGGTTGTGCTCCAGGCTTCTCACTGGCCTCGGTGTCCCGGCTGGCAATGCCAGCAGCTGTGGCAGCAGGGCCGTGTGTGGCTGCCTCCAGCTGCTGCTGCGGGGCCTCCTCCTGCACGTTCTTCACTTCTGAATCAGGGCCCGTCTCTGTCGTCATGGCTGCTGGTCACTCTGCCCCAACACTGCAAAAGAGCAAGACAGAACTCCTCACACCCACTGCGCAGCCCCGCAAGCACCATGGAGACGTGGGTACGGAGGATGCTGTACCCCCAGTTCAGGGTCCCCTCTTAAATTCAGAAGAAAAAATATATTTATCATGGATACAATATCTATATTATATATGTAAGATATATTATGAAATTAACTAAAGGTTTTTTTCTGGGAGGAAAAAAATCAGGCTGTGAGTCAGGTCAAAACACTGCATTCACACAGGAAATTGCAAACGTGGACAGCTTCACACGCTGCATCTGGGATGGCTGTTTTTCCCTCTGGACTTCCCAGCCCGCTGTGTTCCCATGGCCAGCGTGGTCAAAGCCCACATGGCGGATGGGACCTCTGCCTCCAGCTCCTGGTCCGTACACCATGCAAGTGCAAGGCTGGGGCCAGGAACACAGCAGAAAGCAGTTTCAGTGGTTACTGTCCTTCACTGGGGTGCTGAGTTACAGATTTTTGAAACCTTTATATTGTCCTCGTCCTTCCCACATTACACTTTGTAGCACAGTATCTCCGTCTCCCAGAAAAGGTGCGGCGAATGCAGGAAAGAAACAAAGAGAACAAACCCGCTCCACGCCATGGACACTGCTGCCCAGGGGATGGCAAAGTTGCTTGGTGACACTGCATCCCGCCACTGACAGCCCTGTGAGTCCCACCTAGTCACACGCTCTGCAGCACGTATGAGAGAGCAAGAGCCAGGTCAGAGCCACAACCCAGGATAGTCAGAAACAGACAGCTGCCTCTGTGCCAGGCCCAGCTGGGAGCTGGGACAGGGAAGGGGACAGGCAGGTCCTGTGGCAAGGGAGAGCTCTGCTCCTGCTAACTCTGAGTGCTTGGCTGAGGGCAGGAGAAGGGCTCTGAAGGTCACTGCCAGTTTATTTTTTCCATGGAGGAAATGCAACAGAGGGCTGCTTTTCAACTTCAGATTAAAATTTACATGCTCTCTGTATGAATCACTTCAAAACACTTCTTTTAATTAATACGGGATCTCTACATGAAAGCAATCACTCGGGCCCCAAACCACCCTGAATTATTCACTGAAAGTTTCTAAATTTTCTTCCCCCCATGCCCACACATTGAGCCCCAAGGAACAGTCTCAGCTCTGGCACGGAGTTTGCCCAGGGGTGGCAGATGGGGCTGCACTGCCACTCTCCAGCTAGCGCTGCTTTCCAATCTCCAGCTCAAAGCTTCTGGTTGAGGGTGAGGAGGCTGAGCCAGGCTGGCTTGTGAGTGCCCACTCTGTGGGGCTCAGCCTGGCCCTGCCGCCCTATGCCATCCACACTTGGCCCCAGCAGCAGCGCCAGCCCCTGTCAGCACATGGGGCATCTGCTTGGAAGACTAGCTCTGGGGACCGTACTTTTGGCTCTAAGTAGGAGGAGTTGCTGAGGCTGTTGAGAGCACGGATGCAGGAGTTCAGGGTGGCTGAGCCTACATGCAAAGTCACCAGTGCAAGGACAGTGTCCCTAGCAAGGTGTCTGATGTGGCCCCCAAACCCATCACTTCCTTCTTCTGCCATGGCCTGGCTGCTCCTTCCCACTTCCCTCCACCCCCTTCACTGGTCCCAGTGGGAGTGGGCTCATGTATTCCCCTCCAGCTCTGCTGGACGCAGGTTCTACCCAGCTCCTTGGCATCATCAGACCACCAGCACCTGCTGCCCCTGCTGCAAGAGGGACCAAGGGCTCACAGTGTGTGAAAAGCAAACAGGGCCCTTTCCAAGGGGGCCCATCAGGTCCGTCCCTGAGTCTGTTCCCACCACAGCAGTGTGAGCACCCAGGAGGGAGAGCAGAGCCCCACAGTGCTCCCAGGGTCAGGGCCCAACTGCAAAGCCCATAGAAGCTGCGGGCTTTTTGCAGCAGCTGCAGCTTGATGCTAGTGGAGCTTATATGGCTGTGGCAGGTTGGGACAGAGTTGCCACTTGGAAAAGCGTCACAGTAAGCATGCCTGCACCACAGTCTGTAACTAATAAGCTCTGCGAACCAGTGCCTGGTGTGAGACCTCCCCATCTCGCACAGTGCCACGTTTCAGCAGCCCCAATGAATAGAGCCCCATGGCTGCTGCCGAGCTCCAGGGGTCGTGGCACAGCAGAAGGGGCACGTCTTGGGGGAAGGCAGGAGCAGGCACAAAGCCACTCAGCCTCTAAGGTTGATGTCTGCTTCATGCAGAACCCCCTCCACCATGCTTGTCCTGCACAGGATGGGAACCGCTGCCAGTGAAAGAGAGGGAAAGAGCTATGGAGGAGCCCTGGAGGCACAACACCTCCCAGCTGAACCCTGCAGATGTGTCTGGCCCAGGCACAGCCAGCACAGGCCTGGATGGCCACACTATCGCTTCCTCACTCCTGGGCACAGCCACAATGGATGCAGTGAGGACCCACAGGGGAGTTGGTGCCACATCCGCATAGACAGCACCAGGAACCAGCAGGGTGAGGGATGCCCAGGGCTGGCTGAGCTCTGGGGGTGAGTCTTGGCCTGGCTCCTCTTGTACCTGAGGATGGCAGAATCCAGCATGACACTGCCACCCTGCACCATCTGCACTCCATCACACGGCCCATGCCTGCTGGAAGCCCAGCTATGGGAGGAGGCCTCCAACGAGAGCAGGAGTGCCAGTGAACCAATCATTCCTACAGTGCTTGGATGTCCAGCATGCCAAGGCACCTTCAGAACTTAGTTACAGATGGGGGGAGCACCTGAGATGAGGCAGCTGCCCCAGCTCTGTCCTGCAGCCACATTACAGTTTGCCTTCCTGCCTGGCTTTCCCATCTCCCTTCATGTGTGTAAACATGGCCCTGGCTTCTAGCATATTGTTAGCAAGCAATTCCATTCCCTTCTTTCCCCAGGGAGCCTGATCAGTTCATTTTCCCCACGGTTTTTGCTGCAGTTCTCAGAAGCTTCAAAACCAGAGAGTGTTTATTACTGGAGCATCTCTGTGAATTAAGCAGGAATTGTCAATGTTTGAAAGACAGAGATGCTTCCAGATAGCAAGAGGCTGGCTGTGCAGAGCGCTTGCCACCTCACTGTACTTTTCAGACGCAAAAGCCAAGCTCCTACCACCTCCCCTTTGCAGAAAGCTCAGTGCTTCTGCAGAGACCACATATGGTGAATAATGGGTGGGAGGAAAGGCCATAAGCCTCAGCAAACTGCCAAAGGGACAGCTTCATCGACACACCACAGACTGACAGGAGAGGTTTAGATCACAATCGCTGCCACACTGATTGAGATCAGTGGAAATGCTGTCCCACTTTGTTTCTAAACAATACCTAGAGCGGGACAGGACCCCAACCTGCAGGGCAAACAGCCTCCGTGCCATCCCATCACTCTCATTCATTACATGGCACCTGGGATGAAGTTGTGCCATATGCAGAGCCCGCTGCCATACTAGCCCACCACAAGCTGCCCTGTGATTTCCATTTCAAAAGAGGATCAAAGCACTTAGTGGTGGCTGTGCCAGCAGCTTCCACTGAGCTCTGCTTGGCACCAAGCTCTGCCAGGACTGCAGATCATGCTCCAGTGAGGGAACCTGCTGCCCCGTATGTGCCTGCTGCTCGCTCTCCCACTCCAGCACCTTGCCCTGCCCTTCTCACACAGCCTGGCTGCGTTTGCTCCATGAATCCCCTTTCACTTGTCCCAGATGGCTAAAGGCTCTGCCCACCCCACGTGTTACTCCAGACTCCTTTGCTCTCCAGCTCTTGAGCCGAGCTGCTGAAACAGGCATATTAGAACAACAACTGCAAAGAAACCTTCATGGGATCATATGCGGGCCTGCAGTGCCTATGTTCTCCCACCATCTCCCTGATTCTCTTTTCGTTGGTGTTTTCCTCTTCATCCCCATCAAGCTGGGTGTGGATTCACGGATTTCCCAGACACTCTGCCCCCACACTTCCACAGCGCATCACAGCTCAAGCCTCCGCAGTGTTCCCCTCCCAAAGTCTTCCCTTCCCTGCTGCCTCCAGACAAGCAGGGTTTCTCCCAAGCCTGCTTTCTCCTTCTACTTCTCATTCACTCAGTGTTGCTCATTCACTCAGCTTTAAGGCTGAGCAATCCCCCTTGATCCTAGGCTCAGCTTTCCTCTCCTTGCTCCCCACTGACGATGCTGCTATGCAGCAGTAGGGACTGGAGATTTCTCTGTTTCTGAAGCATCACACACAAGTATCCCTGCAAAGCCCCCTGTGCTGAATACCTGAATGCACCCCCCACCGGTGCAGTCAGGCTGGTCAGAGCTCCATATCAACCAAACCACATTTTGTGGTTCTCTCTCACCACTGTGTACAGCAGCTGCCAAGGGCTCCATGGGGCTGCCAGATAAAAACTACTGCCAAGCTACAGGACAGACAGCAGCTGTGGGACAGGCAGCTGCTGTAGGAACAACTAGAGATGCTGGCCACAGCAGCACTGGTGGGGGGAGCCTTGTCTCCTAGCACTGCAGGCAGCTGGGGACTCGCAGAGCCTGAAGCAGCCCCACTTGAACATGGCTAGCCTGCTGCACTGTGGTGGACAGCCCACAGCACCATACCTGCAGCAGTGAGCCTTCTGATGTGCAGTGCTGCTGCAGGACCTGCAGCGAGGCCAAAAAAATCCCAGTGGCTGCCTTGTTGACACTTGGGTGAGAAGGTCAGAAACACAGGGTGCTCCCAGCTCCTGTAGAGTGAATATCACTGCTCCCCATACAGGGTTGGCAAGAACAGAGATCTGCACTGTCCCAAATGGCTCCCTGGCTGGAAAACAGTCCCTCCCCCCCTGCCCAGGCTCTAGGACCTGCAACATACCCAGGCTCTGCTCTGCTAGGCAGGTGCTGCTGGTGAGAGCCCAGATGCTGCAGCTGCCCGGACCAGCTGGCCCCCCAAAAAGCCACAGTGCTACAGAGCATCCTGAGTGGTTCCTACCTTGGTGCGAGCTCCTTGTCCTCATGCTGCCAGCACAGCTTCTCCACTGGGCTGATGCCACACACAGGGCAGTGCTTTCTGCAGAGCAGC